ATGGAGGAGTGGAAGAGTTCTCCAGTGGCAACCTGTAAAGCTCTGGTGAACTCCATGCCCTAGAGGGTTAAGGCAGTGCTGGAAAATAATGGTGGCCATACAAAATATTGACACTTTGGGCCCAATTTGGACATTTTCACTTAGGGGTGTACTCACTTTTGTTGCCAGCGGTTTAGACATTAATGGCTGTGTGTTGAGTTATATTGAGGGGACAGAAAAATTTACACTGTTATACAAGCTGAACACTCACTACTTTACATTGTAGCAAAGTGTAATTTCTTCAGTGTTGTCACATGAAAAGGTATAATAAAGTATTTACAAAAATGTGAGGGGTGTACTCACTTCTATGAGATACTGTAACTTACAGTACCTTTTATGAAGTCTTCAGGCTGATCATGTGATGCCACAGGGTGCTCCTCCTCTACGCCTCCTTTCAAGCTAGGCGGTCCACATTGATGCAGAAAGTGGTGCTGACATCAATGCTGCTTCTTGCACATTTACACGGTAAATGCAGGGAACACATATTGCAGAGGACAGCCTTGGATTAAAGTGAATATTGCAGTCTGTGCTGCCTTTAAAAGGGATTACAAAATGAATATTCACTTTAAACTTGATTCACTTAGTAAATCAACCGACGTATGTCAGCAACATCCAAAGTGCTGGTTCACCTTGCCTAGAGAAAATGAACCACAACATTTCATGTCGGCCATATTAAAAGTGTGGTATAGGAGCTCTGCCTTTGCAGGCAGAAACTGGGCCACTGCACTCATAACAACAGATTGAAGCATTTGCTCCATCTTAGTGTAAGAACAATACAATCCCAGTCTAAAGCCCACATTTACAACAAGAAACCATAAACAGTCATCAATCTAGAAGCAGCTAACCATGTGAAAAGTAAATTGATTAAATCTCCTCGTATAAATAAGTAAAGAAGCTCTAAAAACATAAGCTGACCTAGAAGCAATGCTAGAACTCTTATGCAATCAACACATCATTATAATGAAAAGTTTTAATTGTGAGAAAAATGTCAAATTTATTATCGGTTAACCAACATCCAAGCCTTGGATACTTTCTATTCTGTATTCACCTCCAGTGGGGAGAATAATTATTTGATCCCCTGCAAATTTTGTAAGTTTGCCCACTTACAAAGAAATGAAGGGTCTGTACATTTTTATTATAGGTGTATTTTAAATGATAGAAACAGAATATCAACCAAAAATCCTGAAAAAAAAAAAAAAACACGTGATACAAATGTTATAAATTGAGTTACAATTCAGTGAGCAAAATTAGTATTTGATCCCCTACAAAACATGACTTAGTACTTGGTGGAGAAGCCCTTGTTGGCAAGCACAGAGGTAAGACATTTCTTGTAGTTGGTTACCAGGTTTGGGTCCACTCTTCTTTACAGATCTTCTCTAAATACTAAATACTTAACCACTTCAGTACCAGGCACTTTTACCCCCTTCCTGCCTAGGCAAATTTTCAGCGTTCAGTGTTGTCGCACTTTGAATGACAATTGTGCGGTCATGCAACATTGTAGCTATAAAAAAAAAGTTAGCATTTTTTCACACAAAGTAGAGCTTTCTTTTGGTGGTATTTAATCATGACTGATTTTTTATTTTTTTTGCTAAATAAACAAAAAAAACCCCTAAACTTTTGAAAAAAAAAAACCAAAACACATTTTTCTTCGTTTCTGTTATAAAATTTTGCAAATAACTAAAATTTCTTTCTAAATTTAGGTCAAAATGTATTCTATATTTCTTTGGTGAAAATACCCCAAATTAGTGTATATTATTGAGTCTGTAGGAAAGTTATAGAGTTCACAAACCATGGTATGGGTCGTAATTTTTTGTTACAATGTTTTGGAAAATGTAAAAATTAAAAAAAAAAAAAAAAAAAGTTCCTGCATGCACTTAGAATTGCGGGTGGTGCGGCTACACGGATTTATGTGCAAATCTGCAACGGGACCACCCGCACATATGTGAACTGGGGTAAAGCTGTATCATCTCCATGCCAGAGCTGAGTGATGCAACTCTGCTCAGGGTCTCCATGCCTTGTGCTTCCTCCGACCCCAGGTACAGGTCAGCCACTTAACTAATCTCAGCCTTGCTAATCCACAGCAACAACCTTGTGGTCTGCACTCTGAATATAGCTTCATTTATGAAGGTCTATTGGCGAGTAAAACATGTCAGAGGAAGGAACCAAGGTAAGCACTGCATTGATTTTTAGTCAAGAAAATTTTTATGCAAGATTGGTGCGCTATAATACACCAGTCGACTGAATGGGAACAAAATCATTCGATTTCCCTATCAACGCCAACAGCAAGCATGGAGGAATATTCTTTGCCTGAATATTCTTTGGACTGAATGGGAACAAAATCATTTGATTTCCCTATCAACGCCAACAGCGAGGATGGAGGAATATTCTTTGCCTGAATATTCTTTAAACTGAATGGGAACAAAATCATTCGATTTCCCTATCGACGCCAACAGCGAGGATGGAGGAATATTCTTTGTCTGAATATTCTTTGGACTGAATAGGAATAAAATCATTCGGTTTCCCTATCGACGCAAACAGTGAGGATGGAGGAATATTCTTTGCCGGCTATTCTATTTTTATAGATGGGTAGTCTGAATACATTGTTGCTGCTGAAGAGATGTGACCACTTTTTGGCCATAATTATTTGCCACTTGGTTTAGTCAATTTTCAGCAGGAGTCAGACGAAATTTAAGCTGTCTATAGTGGCCTTAAAGTATAACTAAAGGCAAAACTTTTTTTAGTTTTGGATAGAGTGGAGAGGAATTAGAACCTCTGTCAGTTTTTATTGCTGTCTGTGCCCCGGTTAAGGAGGTTCACCCTCTATATTTGTCCTCTTTCATTATCCTTGAAAGTAAAAGAAAATCCCAAATTTTGGATTGTCCCCAGAAAAGAAATAAAGGGACACTAGTTCTGGGGACCTGGGAGACCCCAAGGAATTCCCTTAATTTGCAGGGATTAACTCTTACTTCCTGTTTATCTATGGGTCAGGAAATGAAGGGAAATCTCCGCAATGGGACACAGGTGTTGAAAGAAAAATCTGACAGGGGTTATAGCCCTTCCTTGCTCTATCCAAAATGAAAAAAAAAAATGTTTTGTCTACAATTTTTTTTGTGTTACTAAACCCACAACTATAAAATCTGCCTGTATATGCAGTAAAGCATGCTTGTTATACTCACTGTGGAACCTAATGGGTTATTCCTCTGCATTGTGTAAAAATGATGATCCTGTCTTCTTTGATCCCCCCTTTTTTACTGTCCCCCATTTATCTGCTGATAGAACAGAGCCTTGGGTGCAAGTTGCACATGCTCAGTTTGGTGTGTATAGCTAGAGCTCTTTTTTTTTTTTGCTTGGGAGAGTGCATGTGATCAGCACAGTGCCAATCAGCACTATCCAGACAGAGAGTCAGGGGTTATGCAGCCTCAGAGGACAATCGGTGGAGAATTAAAACTCCTTTTACAAGCTTTAACCAGTGCTCTGCAGGACACTGATAGAAGTCACAAGACTGCTCTAACTGCTGATGAGAAAAGGTATTTAGCAGTTTATATTTACTAAAATATTTGCATGTCCATGTTCTGTGTACTGTGGGAGACCAGATATAGTGAATGCAGGGTCCTGGGATTTAGTAACACTTTAAGCCCAGACACAGTAGTAGATGCCGATTCTGGATGAAGCCTGATGAAATATGGGTCTATCCTTCTGCAGAGAAAAGCAGATATGGGCATTGTGATGGGAACACTGTGGCCTCTTAATAGATATTAAAACCTAACTCCATGTTTTACTGAATGTTAAATCATTAGTTTGGACTAATTTGGCCCAAACAAACTATTTCCGTCACCAACACATGCAGCGGCTGTCAGCAATGTATGAACTGTAAGTAACCTCAGCTATATACAGTGCTGTGTTTTGTAAGCGGGATGTCTTCCCGTCCTGCTCCCAGAACACAACTGAGTTGGACTGAGCGCCGCTTAGTCTTTCATAGGAAGCCTTGTATTTTCTGAATGATTACAAAGCGTCCTCTGATTGGCTAAGGCGAAAAGGCAGGATGATTGTGTCACGATCTCTGCCACAGCTGATTAAAGAAAGCGTTGTATTAATTCAGAAGATACAAAGCTTCCCATAAATGGCTGAAAAGAACTCAGCCTGACTCAATTTTGTTCTGGAAGCAGAAGGAGAAGTCTCCAACCCACTGCCAGAATACAGTACTGTGTATAACAGAAGCTACATCCAGTTCAATCAACACTGACAGCTGCTGCAACTGCTAGTGAAGGAAATCTTTGCGTTTGGACCAGCTTGGTCCAAACATGCTATTTAATGCACCCGGCTGTGAAGCCACAAGCCGTAACAGCCAGGTGCCCACCATATTGAAGATGCCAGCCTCCTGGAATACAGGATGGCCAGTAAAATGGGCTGTTGGGGGGCAACGCAGGATCGTGGGACAGGTGAGTGGCTGTTTTTTAAAAGTCAGCAGCTACAGTTATTATAGCTAGCTGCTGACTTTTATTTTTTTACAGAGTGAGTGGAACTCCGCTTTAAAGACAGAGTTAGGCTTCAAATACCTGTTCGTATTACACGTACATATTACCTAGCATGAAAAAATATATATATTGAAGGCTAGATCCACTTTAACAAGTTTTCCTTGTTGTTCTGGAACTATAGAAATCCTATACAAAAACTATATTTCATTCATACAAAGAAATCTCTAAGCTTTACATTATAGGTTTCTATTTATTTACATATAATACAACAAAAGTAAAAGCATGCAGCCTTCTAACAAAGCAAAGCAGAACACCAATGTCTGTCGACAGCACTGGGCTGCTTACACAGGAGTCCATGGGATGGAGGGGTGAACATGCTGGTTGGTTTTGTATCCAATAACTCTAGGAAATCAAAGATAATAGCGAAGGAATACATGCATGACATTTCCTCATCTCTGCAGTACCCAGCACTGCTCTTTCTGGCTGTTACTGATCTCGTCTGACGCAAAATACATTTATTCCCAGTTCAATCAGTCCTCCGATCAGTAGGAGCCATAATGGAATAAACACAAAGCATAAATACATACTGGTGAATTGCTCCAGCATGGCACAGAGAGCAAGGCAAAATGCCAACTTCAGTAGCATGGCTGTGAGATACCAGGATTTTTTCTTCATGTTTTGAGCGCCGTTCCTGGGATCATACCCTGATTTACATCGTCCAGCCATTTTCACAATCAGCATCACAAGTAGAATGGTGTCAAATATCCAGATGGGGATGAAGATAATAAACCAGTTCCATGGAGCTTTTTCATCCAGTTTCAGCACCACCATGATGAGGAAAAGCAAACTAAACAGCCAGGTGAGGAGCACTCTCTGGGCCAAGGACATTCTCATTTAAACTGCTTTTAGGGGGTCTCGAAGCCAAGATGAAGAGCTATATCCCTGGAATAGAGCAGAGACATGACATAATGACATCATTATTACAAAAGGTATTAGCAATATTTCCAAAAAATCCAAGTCATAGACAGGGGCGGACTGACAACTCATGGGGCCCCCGGGCAATAGGGGATCATGGGGCCCCTGTGTCCTTGCCCAAACTCAAAAAAGCCTATGAAAAAGGTTCCAGGGGCATCTCATGGGGCCCCTTACTGACCCCAGGCCCTCGGGCAGTGTCCGCGTTTCCAAATGGTCAGTCCGCCCCTGGTCATAGACCCTTCACTGGTGTCAAAGCAAAGCGTAATCATCTGGTAAATCCAGTGTTCCAGACTATAAATACTGTTTAATGGAGAGATCTTCTAAATCAGTGTTTCTCAACATTTTTTCATTCAAGGCAGCCTTTAAAATTCTGCACAATCTTGAGGCACCCCATTCTAAAATGACTAACTTAACAGTTTTACATAAGGCAGTGGCATTGACACACATAGGGTCCCCAACATTACAGGTGATTTTTATTTTCTTTACAAAGCAAATACACCTCTGCTGAATGCTGTAGGATAGTATTCCAGCATCTCTTTCCTTCCTCAGTTTCTCTCCCTTATTCAGCAAAAATGTGGCCCCAGTGCTGATGGAGAAGCGAAAACAAAGCCATCCTCAGGCACCTGATGTCCTCCTTATCAACCTATGACATTGTTGATTGTTAGAATGCCAATAGCTGGTCTGCACGGTGTCTAAGATTGTAATGATGCACAATTGAAACTTGTGGCTTTATGTAACAAAACAAACTGGCTTGATCCATCTGACGACTTGTTGATATTTACAGTGGGGCAAAAAAGTATTTCGTCAGCCACCAATTGTGCAAGTTCTCCCACTTAAGAAGATGAGAGAGGCCTGTAATTGGCATCATAGGTAGACCTCAACTACGAGAGACAAAATGAGAAAAAAAATCCAGACAATCACATTGGCTGATTTGGAAAGAATTTATTTGCAAATTATGGTGGAAAATAAGTATTTGGTCACCTACAAACAAGCAAGATTTCTGGCTCTCACAGACCTGTACCTTCTTCTTTAAGAGGCTCCTCTGTCCTGAACTCATTACCTGTATCAATGGCACCTGTTTGAACTTGTTATCAGTATAAAAGACACCTGTCCACAACCTCAAACAGTCACACTCCAAACTCCACTATGGTGAAGACCAAAGAGCTGTTGAAGGACACCAGAAACAAAATTGTAGACCTGTACCAGGCTGGGAAGACTGAATCTGCAATAGGCAAGCAGCTTGGTGTGAACAAATCAACTGTGGAGCAATAATTAGAAAATGGAAGACATACAAGACCACTGATAATCTCCCTTGATCTGGGGCTCCACGCAAGATCTCACCCCGTGGGGTCAAAATGATCACAAGAACGGCGAGCAAAAATCCCAGGACCACACAGGAAGACCTAGTAAATGACCTGCAGAGAGCTGGGACCAACGTAACAAAGGCTACCATCAGTAACAGACTACACCACCAGGGACTCAGATCCTGCAGTGCCAGACGTGTCCCCCTGCTTAAGCCAGTACATGTCCGGGCCCGTCTGAAGTTTGCTAGAGAGCATTTGGATGATCCAGAAGAGGATTGGGAGAATGTCATATGGTCAGATGAAACCAAAATAGAACTGTTTGGTAGAAACACAACTCGTCGCGTTTGGAGGAGAGAGAATGCTAAGTTGCATCCAAAGAACACCATACCTACTGTGAAGCATGGGGGTGGCAACATCATGCTTTGGGGCTGTTTCTCCGCAAAGGACCAGGATGACTGATCCATGTACAGGACAGAATGAATGGGGCCATGTATCGTGAGATTTTGAGTGCAAACCTCCTTCCATTAGCAAGGGCATTGAAGATGAAACGTGGCTGGGTCTTCCAACATGACAATGATCCCAAACATACCACCCGGGCAACGAAGGAGTGGCTTCGTAAGAAGCATTTCAAGGTCCTGGAGTGGCCTAGCCAGTCTCCAGATCTCAACCCCATAGAAAACCTTTGGAGGGAGTTGAAAGTCTGTGTTGCCCAGCGACAGCCCCAAAACATCACTGCTCTAGAGGAGATCTGCATGGAGGAATGGGCCAACATACCAGCAACAGTGTGTGCCAACCTTGTGAAGACTTACAGGAAACGTTTGACCTCTGTCATTGCCAACAAAGGATATATAACAAAGTATTGAGATGAACTTTTGATATTGACCAAATACTTATTTTCCACCATAATTTGCAAATAAATTCTTTCCAAATCAGCCAATGTGATCGTCTGGATTTGTTTTCTCATTTTGTCTCTCATAGTTGAGGTCTACCTATGATGCCAATTACAGGCCTCTCTCATCTTTTTAAGTGGGAGAACTTGCACAATTGGTGGCTGACTAAATACGTTTTTGCCCCACTGTATTTGGGCAATTTGTGCCAATTTTTAGGCATTTTCCCAAGGCACCTTGGAAGAACCCAGAAGGCACCCTAGCTCAAAAAGGCTGTTCTAAACGAGCATAACAAACCCCATTTAGCGGACTTGAAATGAAATATTCAAGTTAAAAGCTAAATGTTTTTTTCTTTATTTTGGATAGAGATTAGGAGGGTTAAGCCTACTGTTAGTTTTGCCATCTGTCTCATTAGGGAGATTTCCCATCACTACCTGTCTTGTTGTTTCAACAGGAAATGAGAAGATATCTTTCCAATGTGAAGGAAATCCCCTATAGACAGTTGTCATAGAAGCAAGTGTCCCTATTAGAAGATTTCCATTTGGTTCCTGTTTTAGTACCAAAGCATAGGCGTACCTCCAGAGCCACAGATCTGGAAGCAGAGGAAGACCAAGATCTTGTCTGCGTCGGAGTCTCCATAAATTCCAGTGTGTACCCATCCTCCATAGGTGCCCAAGGAGACTTGAGCTGTATGCAGTGAGGATGAGTCTGTCCTGGTAAGGTGTACTCCAGGCCCTCTTAGACAGCTCTAATTCCTCTGGTACAATGTCTCCTAAAAAAGTTTGGCCTCGCTGCTGGGCCCTGAGCTCCACTTTTAAACTCAAGTGGCCATTTTTTTCAATTTTTCAATTTCTTTGTTTTATTTTTCCCTTACAGCTGTCAGAGTTTGTGAACGACCCCCCCCGCATCCCAAACCATACATTTTCTAAAATCATAGGACCAGTAGAATAAAAAGAAGGGGCTACTGATATTTTATTCCCCCATGATATTTGCGTACTGTACTTAGTTAATAAATAACAAATATTTGTTATTTTTGTAAATTTTTAAACTGCAACTTTTTGCAAAAATGATGAAAACCTGAATGTACACAAAACTGTAAATAATCAAATTTCTGTAAAAATCCGTAGGTTTCCTTTTTTCATTTACAGCTCTCAGTTTGTTTGGACACTCCAAAACTATACATTTTCTTTATTTTTTTAGGCCCCATAGTAATAGCACAAATGTTTATCAAATTACTAGTGTTGCTAAAAATACACTAAAATCATTTGCAGACATAAGCACAACATAACTTACAAAATGACTGATACATTCTTACTAAGGCCTCATTCACATGGGACGTACTAAAATGTAGGTCCATGCAAGGTGGCTGTGTATACCCACATGGTGATGCACAGGTGTTCCATGAATTACTGTGCAGGCAGTCCTATTCATGTCAATTGGGATGCAGCAGCTGCATGGACACAGCTGCTGCTCCCATTCTGACATCTGTGTGGGTGCACACCTCTGAAAGCATGAGTTCAGGGACGTGCACCAGCACCCACATGGATGTCACATTATGAGCAGCGCCTGTGCCGTGCAGCCACTGCATCCTAACTGACATCAATGGGACAGCCTGCACAAAACACCTATGCATACCCGTGCAAGTAAACATGGCCCTGCATGGGTGTGTGCTGCCCTATGTGAATGAGGCCTATGTTTTTTAATTATTATTATTTTTTACGATTTTTTTTACATCCCTGTTGGGGGGCTTTGGTGAGATATCAGGGGTCTAAACAGACCACTAATGTCTCTGTTTCTCTGCAGTCCCAGTTGCACTGCAAGTGAATTAATAGGAAGTGCTCTGTACAGAGGCTTCCTATTCATTCACAAACTGAAACAGTAAATACTATGCTTCAGTGATGAATAAACACAGGAGTGATTGGTACTGATTGCTCACTGTGTTCATTCAGGGAAGGAAGGGGCTGATAAAAAAACAAGATGTCTTACCAGCCCCCTGCTCTTCATCCTGACACTGATCTCTCGCAGTGTGCCCCAGGAGCAGCTGAAGCTTGCAGGATGGGAGCCAAAGCAGGATCGGACAAAAGAGTAGTGGTGCTGCGGGGGCATTTTAGAGGACACCAGAGTGGTTCAGGATGGGGAACGGTGGGAAGCAGTGTCTTGGGGGGTACTCACAGTTTAGGTGCGTAGCTGCGATAAGGGGCTTGTAAGCCACTGATCACATCCATTCTTTTGTTCAGCAGCGTCTGCTGAACAGTATTGTTATACATTTGTGGTGTGGTCACTGAGGTGACCCCTGAGCTTATAGTAGAGGGGGGGGATACCACGGACATAGTGGTTCTGTAGTGGAGATGGGGGAGGGGGGGTCATTTTAGAGGACAACAGAGCGGTGCAAAATGGGAAGCACAGGAGTCAAGGGCGGAACATAGAGAAAGTAAAAGTTATGTGATGAAAGCACAAACCAAGCACTCACAATAAATTATACAACACAAAAGAAATCACATAAAAGTGAGTGAAGTAGCAACAAAATGCTGATGGAGCGATCCACAGCTGACACCACCCAGAGAGGGGAACCAGGTGTGGGATCCTAGTGGGGAAGAAGCACAGGGAAACAAACATCTACAGCTCCTGGTGAAATCAGATCCAGGACAAGAGTCTGCTGAGCAGTTTTAATATAAGTTGGTGGTCACTGAAGTGATCCTGAACTTATAGTAGAAGAGTGAACACCACG